CAATTCTTCAGTCTTCCTTGTTCATCATCCAGCTTTTGCATGCATATGAGGCAATTGAAAGTACCATAGCTTTTTAATTTTCTATTATTTTCACTTTCACGCATTCTTTCCTTGCCTTTGTCCTCTCATTTTATGAACTTGTTAAATCCATCCTTCATTTCTGTTACAATGTTTTTTAATTTCTAACATTTCCTTTGGATTCTTTGTTTTTATATCTCTGCTTACTTTGTTGTTGTTAGCTGTTGTAGAGTCGGTTCCGACTCATAACGACCCTGTGTACGACAGAACGAAATACTGCCCGTTTCTGTGCCATCCTCATAATTGTTGTTATGCTTGAGCCCGTTGTTGCAGCCACTATATACTGCTTACATTATCCATCTGCTATTACATGTATTATACTTTATTAGAGCCACTAGCATGTTAATTACAGTTGTTTGGCATTTCTAATCTGATAATTCAAAACTTTTTGCTGAACTTACAATAATTCTGATGCTTGCTATGTCTTTTCAAGTACTTTTTTTTTTCTTTAGTAACGCCTAGTTTGGAAAGCTGGGGATTATGTACTAAGTGAAGTGAATTGAAGTAAACAGGTGTTTGAGGTTTTATCTTTATCTGGCTAAGCTTTAGGTTGTTTTTACAGTTTGCTGTAGGTATAAGAGGCCAAGGTTTTCTCTGATGTTGTTTTTGTCTTTCCTATTGTGTTTGGATTTCCTAGAAACTTCTTAAATAGTTTCTGAGACTTGGTGTTTTTTTACTGCAATCTAGTTATTATATAAGAGCACTGCTGATGTGTTGAAGTATAGGGCAGAAGAGAAGCATGCAATAGTCCAGTGTTCTTTTAGTTAGCCTGTGTCCCTGGGCAGTGATTGTACTAGCACTTCTCTACTTTCGTGAGACAGGGAGTCTAGATGGGGATAATGTTGGGTATTTCACTACTGTAGGTCAGTGAAACTCTGGTAAAATCAGTTCCCTTGAGGGCAGGCCCTGTCAAGTAGAGCAGATTGCTCTGGGGAAATTTCTCAGTGACTACTTTCCCTTCTACTGGAAGGAAGCACAAGGAGATTTTTCTCTGATCTTCACACTGAGTACTTGATAGGATTATTGAAGGTAAAACTCACAAGCCTATGTGGAACCCCATAAGATTGGCCCCCTCAGCATTTTTAACCCTGAAGTTTGTCCACACTGAGCCTCCAGCAATTCATCAATTGCATTTTAAGTTTTCCTACACCTAACAGACTGATCCTAGCGGTGGTTTCAGTTTCTAGGTTTTTGCTTTGGTATGGTTCTCTGTATCTACCTGTTTGCCTACACTTTTGGGGCAGCAGTTTGCCCTGTAACTTCAATTCTGTGAGTTCGGTATGTTCAGCCTTTTTTTTATTGTGAGGATGGGAGTAATGACTTCCAAACTCCTTACATAATGGACCAGAAACTGGAAGTCTTCATTTCTGTGTTATGTCTTTCCGTAGTCTTTATTTTCATATTAATTTCTGTATACTATTCATTTATGGTGCTTTGTTTTCCACAGTGTCCCAAATTTATGTTTAGCCTATTGCAAATGACATTTTGTGTTCTGATTATTAGCAGTGCACATTCCATTTTCTGGGCATGAAAGTCAATGGAGCCCTTTGACTCATATGCCTGTACCTTGGTAATCATTGAAGTCGACAAGCATGTGAAATCTATATGAGTGTTTGCAAAATCATCACAGTCTAATTCCAAGTTTTTAGAAATGAAAGTGTTTTTTTCCCCATACTAAGCCAGGCTTCACTAATGTTTTGGTTTTCTCTGCGCTAACTCACTAAAGATAAATATGCTTTTGTTTCTTACTCCTTATCTTCTCAGTGTGCTGCATTTTCCAAGGAACTTATTGCCTTTTAATGTTACATTTTATATTTTTATTTACTGTCCACACCCAAAGAACTTATGGTCTGTGTGCACCTTGATGTTTTTCTTCTGTTCACTGATGTATCTGTTCCCAAATCAATTTTAGTAAATGAAGGAGCCACAACTAACCTTTCACAAATCATAGTTGCTCAATTTATGGATCATTTTATTAGTATATTGTATAATGAATGTAAGGGTTTTTGATGACTTTAAAATATGGAACCTGTCCCACTGCAATGGAGGAGAGTTCTGGATTTTGGCTGTAGCTCAAAGTTTGTTGTGAAACCATCATACAAGGATTGATTAGAGATGACGTAGATAGTTCATTTGACTTATTACTGACAAAGAGGTGCTTTACTCTACAGCTACTCTGCTGTTCAGCCCGATTTCAGCATCCAGCATGGAATTCGCAGCCTTTTCTCTCTTTATTACATGAGAAAGACAATGGCTTGATGCTATTTCACAGTGGTAAGTCCTATAGCCCAAGGAATTTCAGTAGTCAGGGTTCAGGTAGTCAGTGGTTATGTTCCTCCCACGGGTGTAAATAGAAAATTTTGGAGTGGACCCTCTAGAGTGCTGGTGTGTAAGTCTCTGTTTCCTAGGCTTCACAGGGAATTTAACAGCTAAATTCTCTGCCCTTCAACTTAATTACAAAACTTACTTTTTGTGATTAAAAAAACTATATCCACCCAGGGACTTTAGTTGAAATTTGTAGAAAATGAGGATTAAAGAAATGTTTTAATGTTTGGATATAAGTTTCATTCAGATTTATCTTAAGTATAAACCAAGGGGCCAGCCATTTTATAGAAAGACCTAGCTGTGAAACTGAATCCCAGAATCATAGAATGTAGGTGGGTGTGGATCCAAGACAAGTATCAGGAAGTTTATAGTGATGTGCTGAGAGGGTCACTCTTTTGTGGTCTGATGGAGAATTATATTTGCCTTGTGCTTATCTGTGAATTGCAAGGGGAAGGGAATAAGAAGGGGAGGAGAGAGAAACTGTTTATAAAATAGCTTCTATGGTAAAGCCCAGCTCCAAAGTGAGGAGGGCCATGAGTTGCTGGTGGGTAGCCAGAAGAGTCAGCAGCATAACCATCACTAGTGGCCCCAGGGGCAAAGGTGACCCACTCCTGTCCTCCCAGGAAGCAGGTGTCCCTCGCTTTTGGCACCAGCCTGAAAAGACAGCTGATATCAAAGACTTACAATGATAGCAACAACTCCTTCACTTCTGACAATGTTGAATTTTACCCGAGTCTTGTGATCTTGGAAAACGGGGAAAAAAAACTATATATATACACACAAGTATATTTTAATTCATTGCCATTGAGTTGATTCTGACTCGTAGTGACACTATAGGACAGTAGAACTCTCTCATAGGGTTTTCAAGGCGGGTTGGTGGATTCGAACTGCTGACCTTTGGTTAACAGCCATAGCTCTTAACCACTGCGCCACCATTGCGCATGTATGTTTGTGTGTGTGTATATATATGCACATATATGTATATATATGTTAATCTGTATTACGCAGTTGACAAAACCTTGCTGAAAGTGAAGAGGATTTGAAGCGTTTACTGATGAAGATCAAAGACCAAAGCCTGCAGTATGGAGTACGTTAGCATAAAACAAAAATCTCCACAACTGGACTAATAAAGAACATCATGATAAACGGATCAAAGAATGAAGTTGTCAAGGATTTCATTTTACTTGGATCCACAATCAACATTCATGGAAGCAGCAGTCAAAAAATCAAAAGATACATTGCACTGGGCAAATCTGCAAAAACCTCTTTAAAGTATTGAAAAGCAAAGATGTCACCTTGAAGACTAAGGTGCGTCTGACCCAAGCCATGGTGTTTTCAGTAGTTTCATATGCATGCGAAAGCTGAACAGTGATAAAAGAAGACTGAAACAAAGAATTGATGCCTTTAATTGCGGACTATTGTATATAGTCCACAAAGAATATTGAGTATAGCATGGACTGCCAGAAGAATCAAGTCTGTCTTGGAAGAAGTGTAGCCAGAATGTTCCTTAGAAGCAAGGGTGGCAAGACTACGTCCCACATACTTCGGAAATGTTGTCAGGAGGGACCAGTCCCTGGAGAAGGACATCATGCTTGGTAAAGTAGAAGGTCAGTGAAAAAGAGGAAGACCCTCAAGGCGTTTGATTCGCTTATATGTGTAAAACAGAACATTCGTACCTCAATTTTTACATGTATAATTTGGTGACATTGATCACGTTCATCATGTTGTGCAGTCACTTCCCAATGGGAATTGTAACCTCAGCAAATACAAGGGCATGCTATTCAGGTTTCTGCAGAGGTAGAACTTTGTCATAACAGTAGAGTGCGTGTGGGTGTATGGGTTTATGTTGAGAGGTGTGGTCACTAATAATTGGTTTACAGTTGCATCAAGTTTCAAAATTTGAGAATTGTGGAGAGATCTGGATTTCCATTTTTCCTATCTCATACCTGAGCTCTTTTTAACTTTAAGTACCTTTGCCTGTCTCTATGAAATTCATAATTCTCAAGAAAATATTCTTTTTTCAGCAGGTAGACTTGTCACCCTTGATCCCCTAGAGTTCTTCAATAAAATATGACCTGTTCAGGGTTTTTAGTTTCCACTTTGTTTTTGAGGGGTTCTGGTCCTTTAATGGCTGTAAGGGACAAAAGGAAAAACTAGCATTCTGCAGTGTTCCCCAGTTTTTAATACTTCATCCTTTCACCCTGTGTTTCTTGTTTAGTGTTTTGGTGGGTCTTATGGAAGGTTGTGAAATCGTTTACAATGAAGAGATGATCTGAATTATGTCTTCGCTTTTTCCATGTTTAATTGTTGTAGATGATAAAGACAGAAGGGAGTAAGACTGGAATTGGTCACTGTCAAACGGCGTAGAGATTAATTCACTGTGTTTGACAGGATGTATTCAGTGAGGAAGTGTGAATGTAGTTAGTGAAGGGAAGAGGCTGGTGGCTATACCCTAGAGTAGATCTTGGTACAACAAAGAACCTTCTGTCAAATCCCTATGAATTCTTAGTTCCCTAGGACTCTCAGTCGCACGCTTCTTCTTGCATACATTGGAATACATGGTATCTTGCTGATGCAGAATGTGTGGGATGTTTTAGGACTCAGTGGTCATTGAGGATGTGGTCGTGGTCTTTACTCAGGAAGAGTGGGCTTTGCTGGATCTTGCTCAGAGGAAACTCTACAGAGATGTGATGATGGAAACCTTCAGAAACCTCGCTTCAGTAGGTAAGAATGGCATTTTTTAAACTTAATCTTTTAGTGAACAAAAATATTGTACCTGTTGACTTTGCTCCAGTATTTGGGCTGAGAAATTGGAATAAATTATTAAAACAGGCATAATCCCTTACTCTGTGGAGCTTACATATCCTGATTTCCCCATGAACATAAAGCCCTGTATATTGAAGTGATTTTCATTTTTGTGATAAAAAGCCTTGATTCTCTTTAAGTGTTGCAAGTATAAGCATTGTCTTCAGGGTTCACTTCGGGGCACTAAGAGATTTGTGGTTTTGGACCTTGTAGAAAGTTTTATTGTGTTTATTACAAGTTTGAAATGATTATTTTGCTGCAAACATATTCACACTTGCCCAAATACAGAGATTCTGAAGATTAAAATATTTGGTCATTGTTAGGGAAGTATTTATTGCTCTATATACTGTTTTCCATCATGATTTGCTTTTCTCCATGAGCACCTTGTCAGATGTGTATTTCTCCATGAGCAGCATCGAGGGAAAGAATATATGAACCCATTTTTTCCCAAGGGGAGCAAGGGAAAGATCTGAGGAGAGTAGAGATAGGACTTACCCATGTCCACTGTGTCAGGGAGCACCAGGAAGGCAAGAGTTTTTGAAGAACCAGCCTTGCATGGAGTGAATGAAATTTGAATCAATCAGCTAGAAAGTTTCTTCTAGGTTGAGGAGATGACTTCACAGATACCTGCGCTTACTTATCTTTTTCAGACCCCTCCTACTGTGGTCATGAGAGAGAAAATTTTTTTTCTCTTCTTTCAATGTTTCAGGTGTAATGTATTTACTATCTTTCTACTTAGTTCTTCTGATTATGCCTATTTAAGTCACCATCATTCTCAGTCCCCATGGAAATATTTCTTAGTAAATGGATTTTTAACCATTGTCAAAGTTCTGAAACAGTGAGATGTGTTTAAGTCTTTCTTAATTCACAGCAGCTTTTTTCCCCCCCGATAATTCATTTGTTTCATATTGTGAACCTCAACTTGAACCATTCGGTCAGTGTCTGAAAACGTTAATGATGGAGAAAAATTACCCAGTGAACGCATAATAGTGCAATTCATGAAGAATAACAGCTCGTCCTCTGTGTTAGGAAAAATCTTCAAATTGCTTGTCAGTGAAGATCAGCCTCAAAACCAGGGGAGACGTTCTGGGTGAGTGTCATTCAAATGAGAGGAAAGACTGTCTCAGATAAAAGTTCTAAAGTGTCATGAAATTTATATATATATAAATTTATATATATATCTATGTATATCTGCACAGTCATGTGCTATGTATGTGTTCGGGCAACGTCTGACTGCATGTACTTCCGTGGTCCGATAAGGTTATGATAGACCTCAGAAATCCCAATTGGAATAAAACTCTTCCAGATACATTAAAATACCTTTAATAATACAGTACAAATAATGTTTTCGTTTGCATCATAAAATACTGCACATTTGTTATTAAAAACCATTGTATGTAACTTAAGTTTTTAATATAATATGCCTTTCAGGTTGGTTAGTAAATGCAGATTGTATATACTTCAGGTGTTGTAAACCAGGGACGGCCTGTATATAATATAGTCTTCGCACGCTATCCAAATCATGTAATGTCCTATTTCACAGAACGTGTTGTGGATGCGAAGCATGTGACTATTTTAGAAAAAGTAACAGTAATGATAGTATCTCTGTTAGATGATTTAACATATGAAACATGAGACAATTCAGGGCAAAACCCATGCTTGTTTATGGTGTTTGATAATGGTGAAATGAGAACAAATTCATTTCCAACAGCATATTTTGTGTTTTTAACAGAAGACGTACAGTAGAGACCCTCCATGAGCATAATGAAGGCAATCAGTATGGAAAAACCTTCACCCAGATTCCAAATATTACTGTGGTAAAAAGAAATCTTCCAGAAGTAAATCATTTTGAATGCTGTGAGTGTGGAAATGCCTTTGTACATCAGTCATCACAAAAGCATCACACCGGATCTCACACTGGATACAGTACGTGTCAGTGTAAGGAACATGGAAAAGCCTGCAGTTGTCCCTCTTATTTAAGTATTTCTATGAGAACTCTTACTGGAAAGAAACCGTATAAATGTGAGGTATGTAGGAAAGATTTCATTTGTATCTCAACCCTGAAGAATCCTGTGGCAACAGTTACTGGAGAGAAACACTATGAATGTAACAAAGGGGGGAAAGATGTCTGTAGTTTCTCATCCTTTCTGACACACGCAAGAGGTCATAAGCATCATAAGCATGAATGTCGGAAAACCAATAATCATCCTTCGTCCCTTATTTTATATAAAAAATTTCATAATGGAGATAAGCCTTATGAATGTAAGGAATGTAAGAAAACCTTTAGTCGTTCCTCAGCCCTTATTACTCATAGTGGAACTCACAGTAGAGAGAAACCTTATAAATGCGAGGAATGTGGGAAAGCCTTTAGTCAGGTCTCAGGCCTCACTAGACATACAAAAAGTCACAGTGGAAAGAGGCTTTATGAATGTAAGAGACGTGGGAAAGCTTTTAGTCATGCCTCATCTCTCACAACACGTATAAAAAGTCACAGTGGAGAGAGGCCTTATGAATGTAAGGAATGTGGGAAAGCCTTTAGTTGTTCCTCAGCCCTTGCTGCACATATAAGAATTCACACTGGAGAGAAGCCTTATGAATGTAAGGAATGTGGGAAAGCCTTTAGTCATTCCTCAGCCCTCGCTGCACATATAAGAATTCACACCGGAGAGAAGCCTTATGAATGTAAGGAATGTGGGAAAGCTTTTAGTCATCTATCATACCTAACTAAACATATAAGAACTCACAGTGGAGAGAGGCCTCATAAATGTAGGGAATGTGGGAAAGCCTTTAGACAGGCATCATCGTTAACTACACATATAAGAACTCACAGTGGAGAGAGGCCTTATAAATGTAAGGAATGTGGGAAAGCCTTTAGACAGGCCTCATCACTCACTACACATATAAGAATTCACAGTGGAGAGAGGCCTTATGAATGTAAGGAATGTGGGAAAGCCTTTAGTCAGGTCTCAGGCCTCACTAGACATATAAAAACTCACAGTGGAGAGAGGCCTTACGAATGTAGAGAATGTGGGAAAGCCTTTAGTCATGCCTCATCCCTCACAACACATGTAAGAAGTCACAGTGGAGAGAGGCCTTATGAATGTAAGCAGTGTGAGAAAGCTTTTAGTCATCTGTCACACCTCATTACACATAAAAGAACTCACAGTGGAGAGAAGCCTTATGAATGTAAGGAATGTGGGAAAGCCTTTAGGCAGGCCTCATCACTCACTACACATATAAGAACTCACAGTGGAGAGAGGCCTTATGAATGTAAGGAATGTGGGAAAGGCTTTAGTTGTTCCTCACATCTCGTTACACATAAAAGAACTCACAATGGAATGCGGCCTTATGAATGTAAGGAATGTGGGAAAGCCTTTAGTCATTCCACACACCTCACTGTACACAAAAGAACTCACAGTGGAGACAAACCTTATAAATGTGAGGAATGTGGAAAAGACTTTAGACAGACCTCAACCCTCACTGTACATATAAGAACGCACAGTGGAGAGAAACCTTATGAATGTAAGAAATGTGGGAAAGCCTTTAGTCAGTCTGCAAGCCTCACTATACACTTAAGAACTCACAGTGGAGAGATGCCTTATGAATGTAAGGAATGTGGGAAAGCCTTTCGTCAGTCTTCATCCCTCACTACTCATGTAAGAACTCACGGTGAAGAGACCTTATGAATGTAAGAAATGTGGGAAAGCTTTTAAGAATTTTTCACACCTCACTTCACATAAAAGCACTCACAGTGGAAAGAGAGCGTATTAATGTAATGAATGTGAGAAAGAGTTTCATCACTTCGCAGTCCTTATTGAATATCAGTAAACTTACAGTGCAGAGGGACCTTATGAATGTAGTCAATGTGTATAAGCTGTTGCTCATATCTCTTACCTAAAACTCACAAGGGTAGGCATAGTGGAAAGAACGCTTATTATATAAGGAACATGGTAAAGTTTAGTCTTTTCTGCCACTGTGTACAAACTCACAGTGGACAGCGTTTTATGAATATAAGTAATCTGAGAAAGTGTTCAGATGTTCTTCGGGACACATCTGACTAGGCATTCTAGAAAGAAACAACAAATGTGTGTTTTGTATAACTTATCCATTTTCTTTTTGCAAACCTGAAAGAAGATGCATGCCAGATTAACCATGAAAATGTAAGGAATGTGGGAAAATTTGTGTGTTTCAACACAGTCATTTAAATTTACATATATGATAAGCACATCAGAACATATGAGAAGTCACACTGGAGAGACATCATATAAACAAATGTAAAGGTTCCTGCGATCACATACATGTCTTTTTCTAGTCTTACGCAACATATGAGATATTAGACTGGATTCACTGTACGACTTTAAAACGTGATGGAGGCCTTCAGTGTCCACTTTCTCTCATGACGTCTACGAGACCTCACAAACTGCTGAGACACATTAACTGTAAGCATTCTGAGAAAAACTTCAATCATATAATATCCCACTTTGTGCACAAGGAGATTCATACTAGGGACAAAATCTTATAAAAGTTAAACATGGGGATTTATTACTGCCTTAATCCCATGCAAATTAAGATCCACTCTTTATTTTCTGATGTAAACATTAAAGTGATAAATGCCAGTTGTAAATATCCTTTGAATTTTAAGAAATGAATTTTGATAGTGTTTGCATTTTGGTTCATTTATATAAAAATTCTCTTCATTAATATGTTTCATCAAGAAATGGGTGTTTTGAAGTTTGTTTTATTTTTATCAGCTACGTTGAACTTATTTTTTCAGAGTATGAAACAGCACGTTCTCATTGTAGAAAATTGTTTTTATCTGAAAAGCGTGTAGATAATTAAAGTCATTTATAATCTGACCACTCTTGGTATGTTGGGTGTTTACTTTCAGCCTTGTATGCAAAGCAATGTTTTTAACAAAATCAGGATTGTAGTATATGTTTAGTGTTGTTATGGTGTTGTTCTGCATTGCATCTGATTTTCCTTGACTATGATTATCATCCTTGCTTTACTGCTGGAGAAACTATACAGAAAGTTTTAATTCAAAGTCATCCCACAGAAGGACTTAAATGGTTTTGTGACAAACGGTTTTCATGGAAGGATTGTTCATTCTGAGGCCCAAGGCAATTGTGTGCCAACACAGAGCCCTAGTCTTAGTAAGCTGCAGTGGAGCTTCTGTCCTGCACTGAAGTAGAGCCTGTGCTTAGTGACAGTATCTTTTTTTTGATTATTCTGACATTCCAAGAATTGTGCCCACTCAGGAGCTGAGGCTGCAGTTTCTTAACTAGTATAGTGGTTTCTGCTCCACCTGATGTGAACACTCTTTCTAGGGCCGGGAGACCAGAGGACACCAGCTAAGCTTCCTATATTAGTAGGGACAAGATAAATGGCTGTTCCCACATGCCACTGTGCCACATGGTGAGCTGGAAGCTGCCTCATGGACTCTTCATGTAAGAGACCTTAAAATGGAGGCTGCAAGTTAGACTTTGCCTTGACCTAGCAATTCCCCTTGTAGCATTTTATGGAAATCTCTGGGTGCTATGGTGCTTCCTATTGATAACAGTGGTAGTGTAAATCAGTGTCCACCAGGAAGGAAGTTGTTAGATAAATGCGTAGCCACATATTAAAATAGTGATTGCCACTAAAAGAGTTGTTTTTTCTTAATTTTTAAAGAGTAATTCGGTTTTGGAATGTAAGTTGTTAAATGCATTAAATCTTATAATTAGGAGCACAATGAAAGTACAGAACAGTAGTTTTCTGTTCTCCAAAAATGTCTTTCATCCGTCTTTTTAGTGAAATCTTTGACCATGAATCCCTGGCAACAGTCCCAGTACATATGATGTATATAGGTTTTTGATTATAGATCCTTTTATTGGACATGGAGTCCTGGTGACACAGTGGTTAAGAGCTCGGCAGCTAATGGCTAGCCGCTCCTTACAAGCTCTATGGGGCAATTCTGCTTTGTCCTATAGGGTCGCCATAAGTTGGAATTGACTCTACAACAGCTGGTTTGGTTTCACTTAACCTAATTGCTTTGAGACTTATCCAGGTTTATCAATGTATTAATAGTTCGTTACTTTTTATTGTGCAGTGTTCTGTTTTATAGACATACCACTGTGTGTTCACTATTTGGAGGATGTTTTGGTTTCTAGTTGTTACGGTAATAAAGTTGATATGAACATTTCTGAACAGATTTTATGTGAATGTAAAGTTTTCATTTCTAGATTTGTTATCGTGTGGTAGATGTATTGTTAACTGTATAAGAAACTGTCAATGTGTTTTTAAAAGAGGCTATGCCATTTTGTATTCTGAAAGCAATGTATCATTTCAGTTGTTGCTGGGATCTGCAGAGGTTGTTTTCTGGAAGAACTAGTATCCTTCTGTTTGGAGTAGCATCAGGGGAATCATTCAGTGGGTAGGTCATCTGACAGGCAACCCTACATTTGCTGAGGAGAGGGAATGGCCTGTAGCAATCTTGCTTAGACCACAGGCCCATGTGTATGGGATTCTGGGTTATGCCATCACTGTCGCTTCCAGCCTGGTATGAAGCCAGGGCTCAACCAAGTCTTTTTAGAAAGAAAATAGCATTTGTCATCCATTCCCAGCTGCAGAATGTGGCCACTGCTCTTGTCACCACAGTCCCGGTGACAGTGGCCATTCCTTTCTTCCTGGTGTAGAAAATGGAAGTAGATGGGCTCGTTCGAGATAACAGGTCAGCCATTAATCAGCTGTTTTACCACTCACTTCACCTCTTTTTCTGAAGTTCTCTTTTTAGCACCTACTTGTTCTGGTTGAACCAGCCTCAGTGGGCACTTAGGGGCTGTGGCCAGTCCTAAATTCCATCTCATTTACCCACATCAACCCACGGCTCATTCTAAACTGCAGGGAGCAGGGTACCTGCTTGGGGCTTGGGCCCTTGAGGAGGCTGGTTAAGAAATACAATTTTGGCCTTTTCATGTGCTGGGCTCTACTTTGCTGAAATCTCCACCAGGAAGAAGCATTTCTACCTTTGTGTTGAGGTGACTCTGGCGTCAGCTTCATCTTGTCCTCCTCGACATGGTGATTCTAGCGTGTTCCAGTGATCCAGTTTCTCTGGCTTTAGTTGATGGTGGTTATTAATTGCCGTCTGAGCGGTTCTGACTTTATAATGACAATACATACAACAAAATGAAACGTTGCTCGAGCCTGTGCCATCCTCATCGTTATGCTTGAGCCCATTGTTGCAGCCACCGTGTCCATCTCATTGAAGGTCTTCCTCTTTTTCGCTGACCCTCTATGAAGCATGATGTCCTTCTCCAGGGACTGGTCCCCCCTGATAAAATGTCCATAGTATGTGAGATAAAGTAAGCCATTCTTATAAGGAGCATTCTGGCTGTACTTTTTCCAAGACACATTTGTTCATTCTACTGGCAGTCCATGGTATATTCAATATTTTTCACCAACACCATAATTCAAAGGTGTCAATTCTTCAATCTTATTCATTGTGTAGCTTTTGCATGCATATGAGGACATTGCAAACACCATGGCTTGAGTCAGGCACACCTAAGTTCTTAAAGTGGTATCTTTGCCTTTTAATACTTTAAAGAGATGTTTTTCAGTATATTTGCCAGTGCGATGCATTAGTTATTGAAGTGTAATAAATTGTATTCTGGTAGAATGTTTTTTAGGTTATTAGCACATTAGGGAGCCTTGGTGGCACCATTGTGTACTCGACTAATATCTGAAAAGTTGCTGGTTTGAACCCACCCAGTGGCTTCACAGGAGAAAGATCTGGCGATCTGCTACCATAAAAATTACATCCAAATAAACCCTATGGCACAGTTCACTGTCACTTTGGGTCACCAAACCCGTTGCCATCAAGCCGATTCTGACTAATAGCAACCATACAGGACAGTAGAACTGCCCCATATGGTTTCTAAGGAGCACCTGGTGGATTTGAACTGCCGACCTTTTCATTAACAGCTGTAGCTCTTAACCAGTACGCCACCAAGGTTTCCATCCTTGAGTCAGTCAGTCGAAAATCTACTTAATAGCATCTGACAACAAAAGGGTGCCTATGTATCTGACGTAAATCAATCCATGAATGAATGAGTTAATGTACATATAAATTTACTAGCAAGAAATGCTCTACTCAAGTCATCTCTGCCTTACCTCACTTGCATATCCCTGAAAACGTCCTAGAGCTTTAAATTATAGAAATCTATAAGAAGAAAAACAATGTAGGCGTATTTATGTCATTGGCAGATGTTGGAATTTAATTTACCATAAACCAGATGAATTTTGGCAGATGGATTTTCTCTTAGCTGTTTAATTTTATTTGCTCTTCTAAAGAAAATATATAGTTCCAGTAAAACGAGCATCTATGTTTTTTAACCTAGATTCACCAATTGCTAGGGTTTTGCCTTATTTGTAAATATATAAATATGTCATAACAAACAGTCAATGGTTAATTGTAGACATCTATCTTGAAAAACGCCAAGCATGTTCTTCCGTTTTGGTTTTCTATCTCCTGGTGTTTGCACATGTTATTATAACTTTGTCTTCTCAAGCCATCCTTTGAAATCTGCTGTTCAGTTCTTTTACTTCATTTTTTCCTTTCGCTTTAGCTACTCAACATTCAAGAGCAACTTTCAGAGTCTCTTCTGACATGTATTTTGGTCTTTTTATTCTTTCCTAATGACAGTCTTTTCCAATGCCTGAAAATCACTGCCCTAAAACTCTTTTTCACTGCTCTAAAAATCCCTTATACTCTACCTGTTTATCCCTTCCTATCTCCCCCAGAACCTGGCAACCACCAGTCTTTTTCCCAGCTTTGCCATTTCCGGAATGTTTTTCATAGTTGGAATCATACGTAGCTTTTTTCAGATTGGCTACTTTTACTTACATTATTCATTTAAGTTTCTGTCATGTCTTTACGTGGCTTGATAGCTCATTTTTCTTTATTGTACCTTAGGTGAAGGTTTACAGAACAGTTTTTTATTAAATAGTACACATTGTTTTTTGACATTGGTCAACAACCCTATGACACGTCAACCCTCTCTTTTCTTGATCTTTTTCTTTTTTTGGTAAAAATATACATAGCCAAAGAGACACCATTTCAAAAATTTCTACATGCACAACTCTGACATTTATTACGTTCTTCCTTATTCTGCTAGTCTCACTTTAAATAAAGGTTTACAAAACAAAATTTCTCATTAAACAGTACACATGTTGCCCTGTGACAATGGTTAACAGCCCCACTACATGTCAACACTGTCCTTAGTCAACCTTGGGTTCCCTATCACCAGCTTTCCTGTCCCTTTCTGCCTTCTATTCCTTGTCCCTGAACTGCTGTGCATCATTAGTCCCGTTTTGTTTTATGGGGCTGTCCCATCCCCAGCTGAATGGTGAACCTTGCAAGTGACTTCATCACTGAGCTAAAAGGATGTCTGGGGCCATACTCGGGGTTTCCCCAGACCTTCAGGCCAGTAAATCTGGTCTTCGTGTGTGTGTGTGTTAGAATTTTGTTCTATATCCTTCTTCAGCTCTGTCCAGAACTCTCTTGTGATCCCGGTCAGAGAAGTCAGTGGTGGTAACCAGGCACCATCTAGCTGTACTGGGCTCAGTCTGGTGGAGGCCTTGGTAGCTGTGGTCCATTAGTCCTTTGGACTGATCTTTCCCTTGTATCCTATTCTCTTATTCCCCTTTGCTCCCAAAGGGGTGAGACCAGTGGAGTATCTTAGATGGCTGGTCACAGGTTCTAAGACCCAAGACATCAAGGTAGAATGTAGAACATTGTCTTTATAAAGTGTGCTATGCCAATTGAGCTAGATGTTCCCCGAGACCAAGGTCCCCACAGCCCTCCACCCAGCAATTCAGAACCTCAGGGGGTTTGGATGTGTGTATGGAGCTTCCGTGACCTTTTCTTGTACAGGGTGTGCTGGCTTCCCCAGTATTATGTACTGTCTCACCCTTCACCAAAGATGCCACTTATCTATTGCCTATTTAGTATTTCTCCCCCACCCCTCCCATCCCTGGTAACCAAGGAAGATTGTTACTTATTGTGTGTAAACTTTTTCGTGGGTTTTTACAATAGAGGTTGCATACAATATTTGTCCTTTTGTGATTGACTTACTTCACTCAGCATAATGTTTTCCAGTTTAATCCATGTTATGAGATGCTTCACAGATTAAACATTGTTCTTTATCATTGCATAGTATTCCATTGTGTGTATGTACCATAGTTGGTTTATCTGTGTACCGTAGTTGGGCATCTAGGTTGTTTCCATCTTTTTGCTATTGCGAACAGTGCAGCCATGAACATGGGTGTGCATATGTTTATATAAGTTCATGTTTTTGTTTCTAAGTTGTGTCTTTTGTAGACAGCATATTGATGGATCCTGTTTTTTATTCTGTCACTCTGTTTCTTTATGGGTGCATTAAGACCATCTACAGCCAGTGTAATTATTGATGTGAGTTTATTGCTGTCATTTTGTAGTGCTTTTTTTGGTGGTGCTGACGTTTTCTTTGTTCCTCTTACTCTTCTGTGCTGAATTCCTTCTGTTTGTAGATTCTCTCTTGGTAGGTTTTGTATTTACTGAGACTATTGTTTTTCCTCTATTTTTTTGAGTATGTTAACTTTTTGTGTTTACCGTGAAATTTATCCTTGTCTTTCTAAGTTTGAAGCAGTCTATTATTACTATTGCATTGCTTTCCTCTCCGTTAGAGTGTTCTATATCTATACCATATATTCTCTTTTTTTTGTTCTGTTGTTGTCATTTAGAGGTTAACTGCTCTGATTCCCTGTTGTATTTCTTTCGCTTTTGGATAGTCTTTGAAAGTTCATTTCCTGCATTGGTATGTGGCTGGTACGATCCTTCATCCTAGATTCAGCCTGTGAGCTGATGTCGTTTGTTCTCAGATAGGACTCCCTTTAATCTTGTAAATTTGGCTTGGTTTTTACATATTCCCTTAATTTCTGTTTATCTGGAAATGTTCTGATTTCACCGTCATATTTGAATGAGAGTTTTGCAGGATATATTCTTGGCTGTCAATTTTTTCCTTTCAAGGTTTTACATATGTCATCCCATTGCCTTCTTGCCTGCACGGTTTCTGATGAATAATTTGAGCTTAGTCTTATTGTTTCTCCTGTGTGTGTGACTTCTTGTTTTTCACGAGCTGCCCTCAGGATTCTTTGTCTTTGGTTTTAGCGAGTGTGATTATGATATATCTTGGTGATTTTTTTGGGGGGTCTATCCTGTATGGGGTTCGTTGAGCTTCTTAGATGGCCAGCTTTTCATCTTTCGTGATATTGGTGAAGTTTTCTGTCAGCAGTTCTTCAATGATCCTCTGTTTTCTGTTTTCTTCTCTTGTTCTGGAACTCTGATCACTAGCAAATTTTTGCTTTTGATTGTATCCCACATAATTCTCAGGGTCTCTTCATTTTTTTTCATTCTTTTTTCTGAGTTTTACTCAGAGTTGTATCCAAGTATTTATCTTTAATTCCACTGATCCTGCCCTCCAGTGTTTCAGATCTGCTCCTCAGGTTTTCTTTGACACTCTCCATTTCTGAAATCTTGTTTATCTTTTGGATTTCTGATTGTTGTTTTTGTATAATTTCTAGTTGTGAATTTATTTTGACATTTTGTTCCTGCATTATTTTCCTCAATTCTTCCATTTTTTTGTATTTTCCATGAATTTGTCTATTTTTTCATTTTTGTTTGCTTTTTGCTTCACCTCTTGGATAATTCTGTGTATTAAAGATTTGAATTCCCTATCAGGTGGTTCTAATGCCTGTTCTTGTACTGGGAAGTCATCTAGTGTTTTATTTTGGATGCCTACTGGAACCGTTGTGTCCTGTTTTGTACATGTTTTGGTATTGTTTGCTGTCTTCAGGGCATTCAGTAGTTATTTTTCTTGTTTATTGATTGTAGGTTTGTTTCATCCTGTTTTTTTTGTTTTTTTAAATTTAGCTATGTCTGAGCAGGTGGGCTGTGTGTTTGCTTGTCTGTGGGCATGATACTTTTTGCCTCCTTCAGTTGGGGTCAGTCATTTAGATATGGTGCAGCATGGCAGGTCTAGCTGAAGAGTTGCTGGGATGAGTTTGTTGCACTTACTATAGCCACCAGGGTACTCCAGTATTCAGTGCAGGACAGGTTCCTGTAGGCTGTGCCTGTGCTCCTTGGT